TAACGAAGAGTAACGGTAGTTCAGACTAGGAATCCTAGTCCGAACTACCTAGTCCGTGCCACGTGTAGCCGCGCGGCACGGAGTCCGCACTAGCGGACATTTAAAAATGGAGGTGCCCGGCGAGATGCAAATGAAGCCCAGGAAATTCAAATCCCGGGCTTCATTTGCAACTCCGGTTGCCTACATTACCACCCTAGTTCGAACGAAGAGTAACGGTAGTTCAGACTAGGAATCCTAGTCCGAACTACCTAGTCCGTGCCACGTGTAGCCGCGCGGCACGGAGTCCGCACTAGCGGACATTTAAAAATGGAGGTGCCCGGCGAGATGCAAATGAAGCCCAGGAAATTCAAATCCCGGGCTTCATTTGCAACTCCGGTTGCCTACATTACCACCCTAGTTCGAACTAGGGTGGTAGTGTAGACATACCCAGGGTGATTGAAGGCCCCATGAGAACCAGGGCCTGTGATATAGAAGCTTCTCTTAATTGACCGAAGAAAGCCTCATCTACCTCATCCACCTGATCTGATGGTCTATAGCAGACACCGACCACAACATCACCTCGGTTGCTCCCACCTCCAAAAACTCTCAGCAGGCTTTTCTCCCTCTATATACTGGAGCTCTAAGCAATCAAACTGCTCTCTTACATACAGTGCAACTCCTCCTCCTTCTCTCCCTGTCTGTTCTTTCTGAATTTATACCCTTCCATGACAGTGCTCCAGTCATGTGAGTCAGCCTAACAAGTCTGTTATTCCAATCAAATCATAATTCTCTGACTGTGCCAGGACTTCTCATTCTTCCTGCTTGTTTCCCAGGCTTCTTGCATTCGTGTACAGACACATGAATGCCTGAAATGGCATTCAATTTCCTCTCGTTGTTTTCTGTGACATATACACAACAAAACATGCAATCCATTTTTTTCTGGTTTGAAATAAAACAGGTTCAATGTTGTACGTAAATGATTAATCACACAATTATTTTATCATGTGGCACTAATAAAACAGTCCTAGAGATCTTTCATTAAATTCTAGTTGAATTAGCCTTCTTGTTACCTACCAAGTAATTTTTTACTAGTGCTTCATAAATAAAATATATTCAACTATGTACAGCTCTTTATACCATAGTATTTGTCTTTTGGCAATTTCTTATATAATTCTAGCAACATTAAAATGAAATACTACACAAAAATAAAATCAACCTCATAAAAATAAAACCTACTGAGCTCATTTTTCTTTTTGCCTTTATGATTCCCTGAAAAAATTGCTCTCTGCTTTTCATACTTCATTCTCCCAGATGCCATAGCAGACTTGTTCCTACCTATGAAAGTGCTTCTATACGCCGATTTGAGGAGGGAAGAGTTGACAATATCAGGTCTGCAACCCCAGAAGCTTTAGCTTTCGTGAAATCAATGACTGATGACAAGTCATCTCTATCGGTATGTTAATTTCTCTTTTGCTTTTATTTAAAATAGAGGGAAAAAAAGCACGCTTTTCAGTCTACTGGGTCTATCCACTAGATGATAAAAAAGAACATAAAAATATAGAGTGACAAAAATATTGGCCTCATATACACTATAGTGAGGTTGAAACTTTTGAAGATATTTGTTCAGAGTGTCTTTTAGCATGGTGCAAGTCATAGTCCAAGCATCTATTGGAACTTTAACATTGCAATGCAATGATGTACCGTGATTTAAGAAATCTTAGTATAGTACAGACCAGTGTACAAATTTCCAGAGGCCAGGCCCACCAACAGGAGAGGACAAAGGAGGGAACTTTTCTAGGGCTCTGTGATCCTAAAAGGCACAGGGCTTCTGGCTGCTGCTGCTACTGTGGCAGTAGTACTGCCTGGAACCCCCGGCTCTTTAAATAGCTGCTGGAGTGCCACACAGGGTATATAAGGACTGGGGGGAGGGGGGACGCTGCACTCTGCCCGGTACTGAGGGCTGAGGGCAGTGGGCAGCTAGCATGGCATGTTCACTGCCCTGGCCCCACCCTTTTTGCCTGAGGCTCCTCCCCTTCTAGGAGCTCCCCCCCGACCACACACACACCCCTTGTCCATGTACGCATGTGGCTGTCCGCTCCCCTGCCACAGACTGCATAAGAAGTGTATAATTAGGTGCCATTTTCCAATCCCCCACCAAATCTTCCACTTCTGTAAGCCTGTCCAGTCCAAAAACCCTGTGCTGAACAGGGCTCTCAGAAAAACTCAGTGTTAAAAATCCACTGACATGATGCTGGCAAGGTTCCTGAACAGGATATAACTGTGTAATATTCTTTGCTTAGAGCTAACAGGATAGCGCTGAAACAGGCTATCCCTGGTGAGCACACTAACTGTGTTGCATCCGGTCAGTGAGCAAGGGACTGTCACATGGGATACACAGTCCTCATTTCTCTAGAACCACCTCTGCCAGCACAGTCATTCTGTGTGCTCCAGCCTTTCAAATCTTTATCTCACCCCTCAGCAATAATAAATAAGGAAGATAATGATGTCTTTATTTAATCTAAAGAACCCTTGTGCATCTCTGCCCAATGGAATTATGGTTTTCCTGAAGATTAAAAAGGATGCATATTTGTCAGTACATGTTTGGAAAGGTACTGGGCTGCTGAATTGCTCTGTGAATATTTCACCCATAATTTTGGAACACATATATTTGTTCAGAGTTAACTATTCTTTTCCAGACTAGACTCACATAAGTATATAGTTACAAAATGAATTAGAAACAGGATTCCCTTAACTGAAGATTTTCTACTTCCTGAATTTTTCAGACCTACAGTCCATGAATGGAAGTGAAAAGATTTTTTTTTCTTTTTGGTTGTACTAAAAGGCACGCGTCTTTTCAGTAACATTGAAATTTCTCTCTAAAGTATTTTTTGCTGGTAGTCTAAATCAAATCATTATTTTTTTGCTACTGATACCAGAGAAAGTGATTTTGAAATGATAGTCTGAACAGTTGCCAAAGACTGAGTCTGGCTAAGATTGATTTTCTAGCACAGGAGATGTATATCATGGATTAGACATTATCTTCACAGGAAAGAACATCTGACATTGAAGAGACTGCTTGAGAAGCTGTAAATCACATGTAAAGACTGCATTTTATAATGTAATGTATATAAAGGACATGCGTCTTGGCTCTAGTGTCATAAAGAGATCAGATTCTGTGCTGTGAAGATCTCTGAGTAGCCTTGGATTGCTTCTAAAATGAATTCTTTATTCAAAAGATCATTGATTGTCCATGCAAGCTGAAGCTTCCCTATTTATTTAGAACTACACAAAAGGAGTCAGTAACTTTTGACTGTTTCAAGATCTCCCTAATCTGCAGCATCTGGCTTGCTATACAGAGGTATTTTAGGGTTGATCCCATGTCCTAAAGACTGTTTTTTGACAGGAGCTAAAGCAGACCTGGAAAATTCTAATTGCCCATTCACTCAGGGGAGTGATTTTTTTGATCAGCTGATAAAATATCAATACTTTTTTCATTAACATCATTGTCATTGTCATCATGATCAAGTACATTCAGTAGATTTAGTTCCTGGTCAGATAAATGTCCATGATGGTTTTGGAAGGCTGGATTAAACTATGCAATTATTATGTCTTCTGAAATTTAATTAATCAGACCTTTATCTATTGCAAACTTTACTGACTGCCCACAGTGGCCTACACTGACTTACCCTGTTTATAGTTACTGAGAATTTTCTTCATTAGTGCATCTCATCCCTGCTGATCATGTTTGTTTCAGTAAACTGGTTCTGTTCACTAAGGGTGCATCTACATTGCATCCTTAGCTCAAAATAAGCTATGCAATTTGACCTAAGCAAATTGCATAGCTTATTTCTATTTAATTTCAAAATAGCTTATTTCATAATTTGTGTAGACAGTGCCAAATATCAAAATAAACCACTATTCTGAAAAGTCCCTTAATCCTCATGGAACGACGTTTACAGGGACATCAGAATAGCAAGCCTGTCACATTTTGAAATATAACAGGTCTTGTTTAAAAGACACGGTATCCCGCAAGAACGACGCAGTGTAGACATACCCTAATTTATTAAGTGACACCTGCTGCCCTTTCAGATAAGAGTATGAGTAAAAATATATATTAAGCTTTATATTGACGATGAACGTGATGCAAACTCCACTAAGACAACTGAAAGTCTCTTCATGACTTCCCTTGGCTTTAGATTAGGTCCTATGACCTATTTGACCCCCACAAAATATGGCAGGACTAGTGAGCATGACTATGAAACACTGTGGCCTTCTATTCATTCAAAATGCCTACAACGAAGTTGGTATTTTGAGGTAACTGGCAGCATTGGGTGTACTGACAATTGGTTACTAGCTTGTTGCCAGTAGAAGTTATTTCACTGAGAGATTTTCAGTAACAGTTACATTTTTATTCCGCCAACAGGAATCTGAGAAGATGAAACGATTTAAAGATGCAATCATGGCTCAGACTAATTATACTATTTTGGTGAGTAAAATGTTGTTCTGCCTGGATGAAAGCCATGCAGTTTTATAGCAAAAACATGAAGGTATAATCACTAAGTACATGACCTTCAAAAATATTAGGGCTACGTCTACATTGGCATGATCTTGCGCAAATACTCTTTAACGCAAGAGTTCTTGCGTTAAAGTATTTGCGCAAGAGAGCATCTACACTGGCATGTGCCTTTGCGCAAGAGCATCCGTGCCAGTGTAGACGCTCTCTTGCGCAAGAAAGCTCCAATGGCCATTTTAGTCATAGGGCTTTCTTGCGCGCGAAATTCATGTTGCTTGTCTACACTGGCCTCTTGCACAAGAACAGTTGAGCAAGAGGGCTTATTCCTGAGCGGGAGCATCATAGTTCTTGCACAAGAAGCCCTGATTTCACACATTAGAACTTCAGTGTTCTTGCGCAAGAACTCCCCACCAGTGTAGACAGGCAGCATGTTTTTGCGCAAAAGCGGGTGCTTTTGTTCAAAATCATGCTAATGTAGACACACCTTCTGCATCTCTGGATACTAGAGGATTCCAGGACCTCACACTATGTTATTGACTATCTGATCAAACAGCCATATGGCTCCATCTTCTTTGATCTCACTTCAAGAAACACCTTCCAGAAGCTGATATGGTAAGGTTAAACGTATGACCAAGATAGCACTTGTTAGCTTACATGATAACTTTTGGACATAATACTCTTGGGCATAACCTTTCTAAATATGATAGTTCTTATATAGTGTTGTCACAGACTATGTCCTTGTGTAGTTGACCTCTCCACATGGACACTGGACATTTGTGTGACACTTACTAATTATTATTAATTATTTGCATTGCATTAAGGTATATGGATGCAGCTCAATTGACATTAATGGAGCTGCATCCATATACTCCACCTTAGAGTGACATGTATTACAAATACTGACCTAGAACTTGCAGGGTTATTAACAACAAATGAATGCTTGTATGATGCTCTCTTTGAAAGACTGTTGAAGGTGTCCTACAGTAAAACAAGGGGGTCCCCTGGTGAAGAAATCACTTTACTTGTAAAACAACCCATTTTCTGCTGATTAAAAATGAAACTGCTGAGCCCTGGTAACACTTCACAACCTGCTGTGTCAAGACAATGCGCTGACTTACAATACTAATCAATACGTACTCAAATCACTCATGATTTTAATAATTGTTAATAATCAGTTTTGTTAAAGAATTTACCACCTTTGGTTTTACCTCAGTCCAATGCCTAACACATTTTCTGTAAGCTGCTGGGCATAATTATTGCTGATTACTGTTTAAATAGTAGTAATAGACAAGAAAGCATTCTCCACTAGTCCTTATTGCAAAGGCATGTGCAGCATGTGAGGGGGAAGACAGGTACAAGGAGGTAGATTGTGGACTGAAGAAAGAGATGAGGAATGGTGGTTTGTAGTGAAGACTCTGCACTGGGATGTGGAAGGAAAAGATTCTGGTTCTGCCATAGATTTTTTTTCTTCTGATCTTTAGTTCTTCATCTGTAAAGGGGGAATATTAATACTTCAGTTCTCATATCTGCTTATATAGATTTTAAATTCTTCAGGAACTGTTTCTCACTGTGAATATGTGTACAGGCCTTAGCACAGAATCTCAGAGAGATCCCTGGGCCCTCCCTTAACACAACTGAGAATTTAATAAATTGTCTGAGTCTAGACTGGCATGATTTCATGCAAATGCTTTTAACTGAAAAGATTTTCTGTTAAAAGTATTTGCGCAAGAGGGCGTCTACACTGGCACGGATGCTTTTGCTCAAAAGACATCTTTTGCGCAAAAGCATCTGTGCCAGTGTAGATGCTCTCTTGTGCAAGAAAGCTCCGATGGCCATTTTAGCCATTGGGCTTTCTTGTGCAAGAAATTCAGTTGCCTGTCTACACTGGCCCTCTTGTGCAAGAATACTTGCGCAAGAGGGCTTATCTCTGAGCGGGAGCGTCAAACTATTTGTGCAAGAACCACTGATTTTGTACAATACAAAGTCAGTGTTCTTGCACAAATACTCACGGCCAGTCTAGACAGGGGGCAAGATTTTGCACAAAAGCGGCCACTTTGGTGCAAAATCTTGTCAATCTAGATGCAGTCATTCAGTTTAATTCAGTTTTAGATGTAAAAGTACTCCCACTTATTTCGAGTTTTCATATCTCCTACTCATAACCCCAGTTATCTGAAGAAGTGGGCTGTGCCCACAAAAGCTCATGATACCATCTACATGTTTTGTTAGTCTATAAAGTGCTACCAGACCATTTGTTGTTTTTTTTCTGTAACAGATTAACTCAGTTATCCACTGAAGCTCTCATAAGAATGTTATTTAACTGATGTGCCTTACAACTCTGGGAGAATTCAGATGAAGATTTCTACAATGTGACTAAAATGTATATGTTATAGACTGAAACATACCAGTCCTAGTGAAAATAAAACATCCACCTCATAACACAAAGAGCAGTTTAGTGTGATTTTATTTGCCCTTGTTAGAGCTTGGCAGCAATATTGCTATCTTAAACTCGGAGCCCTAAAATTCAATTTAGCACAATGTTTCCTATGTGTTGACTCACAGTTTATTTCGTTAGCCTGTCTCGGTCTCTCTTCAGATATGGCATTGATCTATGTTTCAAAAATGTCAGTGCTAAGAGCTTTATAAATCTTGTGATGGCAAAATATGTCCTTTGATCATCAAGTCAATTTCCCTTGATAAGAAAAACCAAGGTAATGTCTGTTATGCTGCACAGTCCTTTCTCCAGTGTCTCTAAGCCATGTGCGCTGATGGGCATACAGACCATTGACCAAAGGCTATGTTCTCCTTCATAAATAGACAAGGTCATTTACTCCCTGTCCCTTACATCATTCATCTACTTAGACGTTGGGACAATTATTTCCTTGAGAGACAAAAAAATTGCTGCCTTCTTTGAGTCTTACTTGTCTCCTACCCTTTTAAAGCATCTTATCGTCCGTGTCCTGGAAGAGTCAGTGCCCTTTGGTCATCAGTTCTATTTTAATTGCTGTGTGAACTTTCTTGTTCTCCATCTAAATGATCTGCCCTTCCCAAATGATTTCATCAATGATGAACTCTAATTGTCTGTCTGAGATAAAATCTACACATTCGCCAATTGATTCACCAGGAACTTGAATATGTACCACAAGGTTTCTGGATAGCATCCATGGCTGGCAGCTGTGGTGAATAAACTGAAGGAAAAGGTTAGATTTAAATGTGTCTTCATCTGGAGTTACTTTCCACCTACTTCAGAACAGCCAAAACCAGTCTGGCGTGGTCAGGATTTTTTTAAACATGATTTTTAATTCTCAGTTAATTCAGTGCTAGTCCCCTAAAGCACAGGAAGGTTGGGACAAGTGTCTCAGGGCTTTCTCTTCCATATTCCTGATAAGTGTTTTAGAGCAATAAAAGGAGAGCTAACCCTAAGAGAATCAAGCCAGGCTAATGCATGGAAGGATGGGACTTTGGAAGCTAAGTCAGTGGTAGCTTCAACAACAAAAAAGAAAGAGCACCCTCACCTCTTGGACCTTTTCTTCTGAAGTGACTGGGAACACAAGAAAACTCTGGATCTAAATTTTGTTGGATCCTAAGTCCTTTAACAACCAGGACCCAGATCCAAAAGTTGAGAAATATCTGTTCAGAGAGGTTTTGAAGCTTTGCTTCCTTGAAATCAGTACAGGTAGGCTGTGTCTAGACTGGCAAGTGTTTCCGCAAAATCATCTGATTTTGCAGAAAAACTTGCCAGCTGTCTACACTGGCC